CAAAATGAATTTGGAAAAATAAAGTAATTTAAAACCAGTTATTTGTTGTGCTTAGTTAGTTCACCTCATTCCCTGCCTCCCTTGCCCCAGCCCCAAGAACAGACATGTTGTTAAGTACTGTTGAGTTGGTTCTGACTCATAGCAAAGCAGCCTAGGGTTTTCTGAGGCTGTAAATCTTTGTGGGAGCAGAAAGCCTCATTTTCCCCACTTGGAATGGCTGGTAGTTTCAAACTGCTGACCCTAACTAGTGGGCTAACAGAGTGCCTTCCAATAGCTGACTTTAAGTTGGGCTCATCTGAAACCCTGCTAAATTCTCTAGTTCTCACTGGTCTTTCCTTAGATACTGAACCCTACTCTATAATCCCTACCCAATATCGAGGATCATTGATTTTAGGGACAATCTTACAGGCAAAGTCCAAGGAAGACTCCCACCACCTACTTGCTTCCCCAGCAGCCATCTCCATACCTAAGGATTCCAGTGCCACCTCTTCTATTGTATCCCCTCACCTTGCCCCTGAATGAGGTCTGCATCATCACCCACTCCCAGCCTAGATCTCTTCGATCTTCACACTCCCATCTCACCCTTGCCTGGAGAAGCCAATTTTTCTATATTCTATCTTTTCCTATCCCTACTTGCTAAGTGATTGGGACTAAGGACAAAGCCTACTGGAGATAAGAATTGGTTTCTACAGCTAAAATCTGAGGGAAGGGAAATGAAATGGCATTCTACCGACTGCCTGTCCCCAGAGAACCTGACTCCTCCATTGAGGAACCCTCTTCTCCCAGGAGTTTTGCCTGATGGGCAAACACAAACACAAAGTTTTAGCTAACTTGTTTCAGGTCTTGAGGAAAGACCTAGGTGAATGCAGTCAGACAGAACCAGATCACCCTTAGGGCAGATTCTACCAACCTGTAAATATGGGCAAAATCCTGTTAAATTCACTTCTTAAAATTTGCCTGTATTAGTTTAAATTTTACACAAAGGTGTTATTCTCACACTGGTTTGGATTATGGCATTATGGCTGCAGGCTACGTGATTAGTTTCAGAAAGCCTGGTACAGCCCTTTTCTTTCAGCAGGTTGTGAGATACCTCAAAAACTCTGATCGCTTAAAAATAATTAGCTAACTTAACTCTCCCACCAGAATTGCGATTTGGTGGTCTGTATGCTAGACCTGTAACTACCAGAAGTTCTGGTAGCATAATGG